ATGCCTCTGCATCTTTTGAGCAGACTTTCAGATGAACAGACTTGAGTAATGCAAAGCCTATTTGAAAGTCAATATGAAGGCTTCATGCTCCATTACTTGTGTTTCAGTGGGCTCAGTTAATCAAATGAGGAAACAGAAATAGAACTGTGAGATTTAATTGACTAGTCACAAACATGAATACAGGTCACATTTCAAACTCTGACTTTGCAATGTGGTAGATGAAATTTTAGAAAACTGCAGTCACTCCAAAAACCTCTTAAACACAAAATTATACAAGGGTTGAGTTTTCTCAAAATATTGGATATATTTCATTGCTAAATTATTAGCAACCCAAGTGCCACATTCACAGAATCATATGAAAACAGGACTAGAGGGGATGTGACATCTCCATTTTGCCTTCTGCTAAAGAAATTTCAAACACCATTTTTCACTTTTCATGAAATAAAATTCTTCCTTTCTGAGCAGTCAAGCTGTCATTTCCAATATTTTAAAAGGACTTTTAGGCTGAATTTTCCTTCAGATTCCTTTGATATCCAACACAGCTCAGGAAGCTAAGGTGTTCTCTAATGTGAAAGGCCACATAGTAACAGAGCCACAATTTTCACCTTAGGTGTGGCAATAAGATACTACCGCATTATCTACAACTTCTACAAACACTCGTGTTGATGTGCAGCTTTCCTGCCCTTCTGCACACCCTGAAAACATTTAGAAAATAAAGGCCTTGCAGTAGAGAGCTTGAGCCTTCATTTGTGAGTTCAAATGCTGCATCCTAATATGCTTTTTAGAAGCAGATTACAATCCTCCAAACTATAGCAAGCCATACCATCAGACTAAAACAGACGAAGAAGCAGCTTTTCAAAAATGCAAAGGAAAAAATAAAAACGTATAGTAGATTTTGCTAGCCTCGCCCACTGGGCATATATTGTTGGTCACAGCATGGATCTGACACTGTGGGGTATATTTACAGCATGGGGTATGGAGAACTACACACACAAACAATCGTGAGAACAGTATAGTTTTTCTTATGTGAAATGCACTGAAAATTGACCCTGTTGGGATGTAAACAGGGAATTGGATTGTTGTGGAAATTCTACTGGTTTGTGTGCTTTTTAAGTGTTGAATTTTCTTTTTAAGTGATCAAAAGTGTCTCTGAGTCACAACAGTCAAAGATGGCAAAGACCGCATATTGCTCTAATTCTGGTCTTCACGACATCTTGCAGAGATTAATGCTTGAAAGATATTATTAGAACTTTTTATTCCTTTATCCCAAACTGACACCATATGAAAAGCTTGCCATGATAGCTCTTCAATACCTTCTCTTTTTATTTTCTGAGCTATACCATGTAAATTAAACTGGGAAAATCACATCAAAGCTAAAAGAAAGAGCTAATATGCACTACATGCAGACATTTAAACACCTGCCATATCCTCTCTTGCTCAGGTAGTAGAATAATCACTCTACCCCTTGAAGTATGAGTGCTTCAGCCTTCTGTTTTACATTGTTTCCTCTCCGCTTCCTTCTTTCCCCACGGAATTGCTGAGTCCATGTTTACAAAACTTCTTGTCACGTACACGATAAGACTGAAAGATATTACAATTCTCCTAATTGGTAGGACAGTGTACTTTCAGGGTCTCCTTGTCACAGTTTAGTCTAGTAGCGAAAGGAAAGGTTGATGGAATTGTGTCTGCTCTGAATATTGCCAGGAAACCATCCTGGCAGAGATTCTTTATACCCATGAGATAGTTAGCAATGAGTAAACAAACTGCTATGGGCATACATAAGCGTGTCATAAGGGACTGATCTACATCACCACTGAACATTTCCAATGACTTCGAGAGGCTCTGGTAGTGAACAGTGGGATTCTAAATTAATTTCTCAAGGAAAGGCTTCTCTTCAAAAACCTTTTGAAACTTTACTTCTCCATTTGACTTAACCACAAGAAGCCCACTGTTATACTATAAATATTGATAATTTCAAGGTGTATATATATATTTCCAGCAAGCACGGTAACATTACATTTTTGTTGGATTGCTTCTTTGTAGCAGTAAACATTGAAAAAAAAAGTCTTATTTTACAACAACAACAACAAAAAATCTATGTCCTGGTTCCACAGAGGAACAAGACTTTTGCAACAGATAAAGTAAAATATTGTGTCCTTCCTTTAACTATCAAAAGGAAATAATGTACCACAAGCCTATTAGAGAAGAGCTGACTCTATGCCATCATTGATAGTTTTATACAGCTTAGTATTTATTTCAAACTGCTCACACAGCAAAATAAAACTATTGATCAATCACCCATGCTATTATTTAAATAAGGAAAACATGCCTTCTTTCACCTAAAAGCACTTCAGAAAAGTGTAGTTGAAATACTGTCCCATTTTCAAATATCAAAACTGGGATATATGGAAAGTTGAAATGCTTGCAAAATTTACCACAGTGACAAAATTCAATGTGAATTGAACCTTGATGTCCTGACTCTTTAATCAGTAAAGCAATCTGAATATAAGAGCTGGCAAATAAATTGAGTAGATGCATTTTCATATAGTCATTTTTCCAAGGGGAAATGAATATTATCTTCCATTTTCCAGTTAAAAAATAGAGTGAAGATTACTCACCCTTAAAAGAGGTGTTAGCACACTACTTACTGGTAATGTAAGAGCAATAATAGTTGATATAAGTGCAAAAGTGTTATGAAAACATGCCTTGTATATTAATGATATGAAAAAAACTACTGTATTTCAAAAAGTTTAAAAGCTTAATTCCTGCTTATTTAGGCACATGTAGGATTTTTATACTTAGATTAGAAAATAATGGTATACTGCACCAGAATCCGTTATTTACATATATGGTGTAAATACATGCCTATGGGAACTTCCGCTTTTGAATTAGATACGATCACAGTTGAAGGATTATTTATCTTGGCTTAGATCTTTACCAAATAGTAAAAGCCCTGCCTACAGATGAGTTGGTAAGTGGGTGTTCACAACTTCACAGTTACCCACTGAAAGCTCAATGCGTCTCAGAAGCCACAGAAACAGACACAGTAAGCAAAAAAGGGGTGTATGAATCTTGTAGTTTTTATGAGTATTAATGGTGAAACACACAATAAATTTCCAGAGCTAAAATGCCTACTGGAAGAGGAGTCTCTGAGCTACAGAAAGTCCTCCTTCAATAGACTAATCTCTTTTCAAGGCAACTACTGCATCTCTCTTGTCAACCAGTTTAATAACTGCTGTAACTCAAGAAGATGCAATACTCTGGTCACTGAGCAAAAAAGCTGGAAAGCCCTTCAGAGGTAGATTTTACCATATACATCATAATCTCATTTGAAGATCTATTTTTGTCTCCTCCACTATTCTTGTCTGTATTATAATCAGATTCTGATGGACCAATATGCTATCAAAGATCCGAATAAGCATTTTAAATGAATAGTCATTATCTAGAATATTGACTAGCATGAGGAGAGAATTTAAACACTTCAATTCTTGGCAGACTTCTGTAATCTCACAGAAATGGCACCTGTCTACAAGTGTTGTATACCCTACTGCAATGAAATCAATGAAGTTATGACTATTTGCAGCAGACAGGGATCTGGCCCAAAGAAAGCATAATTCAGCGTATCATAGTACCAGTTCAAGCACAGTTAAAGCCAGTGCTAACGGCACATCAAAAATACGGAAAAGCTTTTGTATGCCTTAAAAGTACCTTTTATGTCTGCAGGTAAAAATTACATTTCATTTTCAACCAGAGACAGCTGTTAGAATAAATAATTACTTATGAAAATATAGTAATGAAAAATTAGTTTAAAAACAGATCCTGCAACTTTAAGTTCAAGTGAGATAGAAAGTTATTTTTTGAATAATAATTTCTTCAGCACAGCAGCTGGCATGAAGACACTTGCGAAAAGTGATGGGAGAAGGAGATTGTCTTGTTAACACATCAAGGATGAGCACAACTGTCTTAATTTCAATCCAGTGCTCTTTTCATCTGAATGCAGCACAAGAACACTGAACATTGTCTGGACAAGGGATGGCTTCCACTCTCCTCTGCTACTTATTCCTTCTTTCCAGAATCTTCCAATTTGTATACACATTTGAAAAATAATCTATGTTTGCAGAGATGGACAATTGTCTTTCATTGTCCGTAGGTTTCACATTTTTGTGCAACCTACAGAGTGCTGTCTTTGGGTCAACATCCTAGAAATAGGTTTAGAACCTAAATGAACTGCAGGAAATTCCCATGGAGGTGTAGGAGTTACTGACAAGATTTTGGCCTTAAGATTCTAACATACAGCTTGGCCGCTATTACCTGGCAAAGTAAGGGGAAAGGGTATAAGAAGTGCAGATCATGGACCATTTCCCATACAGACTGTAGTCTGATGTTTTCTCTGACCCCAAGACTGTGACAAAGAAAACTCTTTTTACTCTGATATTAGGGAACCAAAAACTCAGCCTGCTACACACCTCATAGTTCTGTGGAGTCTTTAAATTGATTCTTTTTTTCATTTTGTTTTCACCTCTCTCCTGTTCACACAATCCCTGACTGCAGTCATCATCCCTTTCTCAGCAGAATCATGCCCTAAGACACGCTAAGTGTATCGGCTTAGACTTTGCAGTAGCACTGTACCCTCAATTCTATGACAGCCCAGAGGGGCATCCTTCTCTCCTCTATCCTTTGCATCTCCTCCCTTCAGCACACACTGTGGATTCTTTCTGCATGTCCAGATGCATTTGCATGTAAATGTGGAGTCCCTCTGCCTATGATTCTGAGGCAAAAGTGGCAGAAAAACAGCTGTGCCCCTGAAATTGAACCTTCAAAGAGGTGACAGCTGAACATGCCCTTCTTGATATTGACACACAGAGAAAAACCATTACAGGTTAAGTGTTACGCACAGCTGCCGAATTAGTAGGTTTTGTGTTGGAAACTACTGAAGACTAAGGTTTTTATCTCATTCTATGGAAAGCAAACAGCTAAACTAACTCAATTTCTGAAATGTATCAATTCTTCAGCGGCAGGGGTGGTGGTGGTAAATTTGTTTGTGGAGACGTATATACCACATATACAGGTTCTAATAGATGATGTGGAAAGTACAAAACCTTCATGCCCTTCATTGCATTAATAACCTTCTTAGGGTTGAAAATTTTACCTAATGTCTTGTATCCATCTTTTCCATCCACAAGAGTGTGCACACATGGTAGCTGCACTGTAATTATGTTCTTCACTTTCACACCAAGAGGAGGAAATAATGTAAAAGACATTTCAATTGTTTGATGCTTTTCGATGCTTCTTACAGCAGCAGTGGAAACTGAAGAAAAGAAAAAAATGTATAATGACCAACATCTTTCCTCTGATATATATAAAGATGCAATTGACATTCACAGTAATAACCTGTACAGATAGATTTTCTTTTATTACTTAACTGAAACACATTAGGATGGAATTGTGAACTTGTGCAAGTGAAAAGGTTGAGATGTATGTAGGTTTATAAGCTATGGAGATGCCAGATGTGAATAAAAAACAGGACATATATGTCCAGTTAGGAAAGATTTAATTGATTACTGTTCTAATACTTCAGCTAGTTCAATATGCAGATGTGTTCTATAATGACACTCACTAAATAATACTGTTCACTCTTTTATGAGTAGAGTCCAGTGATAAGTGCAACTAAAATTTTAGAAGGCATTGAAAACTTAATGGGAGATGAAAGTGCAATTATTCTTCAGCTCTTTTGCAAATCTCATTCTTGATACTTACGGTTTGTTCATCACAAACTGTAGCATACCTGAAGTTAGACTATTAAATTACATGTTTGAATGAAATCTTTGTTAACTGTACCCTATTAAAATACAGAAAGAGCTAAAATTTCAAGTAAGAAACTACTCTCACTATGCTTTATACGCTGATCTCCAACAGCAGCTGATCGTAACTTTTTTAAAGGTGCAACAACTCCAACATGAGAAAGGAGTCCATAAAGGAGTCTGATCCTGCAAGTATACCTCACGCATGTACTTCCACTGCACTCAGGAGGCATGAGTCCTCACAAGTCCAAGGAGCTTCAGCACTTGTATATGGCGGGCTCACTTCCTTGGAAACGATAGCCTTGTTCTTGACTGCAGGAACAGTTAAAGCAATGTACATTTCTGGATATGACCTTTTTGTAGCACCAGTTGAAATACATCTCTGGAAGTATGTTGGGGACGGAGGGTGAGCAAGTTTCCCACATCCAGCTGCAACCCATGTCCAGGATGCTGATACAGGCACTCAGGGTAAGAGATCCTGTCCCATCCTTGAGAAGAGGGAAGTGAGTGAAACACCTTATAGCACTTCAATGATATCAGCCTTGGTCTTCAACCATTTGGGCTATATCTGAACATACACCTGGAGGTGAAGGGATCTGTATTACACAAGGAATAAATTCCAAGGCCAATTCAGCACTGAACTTCCAACATTTTGTTGTTTCAGTTCAATAAAATCACTTTGTGTTATATTCCTTTTTGTATAAAATAAAGTGAATGTCACGCTTTTTTGTCATGTCATTTTTAAAAGTTTTTTTTTCTGTAGCCATTAGTTAAAAAAGTTATAACAAGGCAAATCATTTATCAAAATGAAAAATGCTGTACTCCTTGAGCAAGGGAAGGGGAGTCTAAATAGAATGTCCCTGCTCTTAAATTAATGGAGCCATCTTACATTTAATATTTTCTCTTAAGTAGTTATGTAAGCACTCCAAGATCATTAATGAAGAAGCACAGAATCACAATTTACAGCTGAAGGGCAAAACTGCTAAAAAAGCATTTCAGAATCATGTCATCAAGTGATACAATCTAGGAAAATAAATGCAAGGATCATTGATCTCCGATATCATAATTAAATGTACACAACATTTGACAAAGGACAACAAAGTTCATTAAAACTTGTCTTGGAACCTAAGATGCAGGAGTAATCAAGCAGATGCACTAGGGAAAGGTCAAGTTTATAAACAAGAAGAACTTCTGTTTTAATAAAAAGATTTTTAAAATAGATTTTTTGTCACTATTCCAATTTTAAATAAGAATAATGGTTAATAGTATTTATAAAGACAATTCATTTGTGTGCAACAATACCAAATGTACCACTGGCCAGTTCATCTGCTGGTACTGTGATATGTTACATTTCTGGCCCTAGAATCACTGTAGCACTTCAGCTATCCTTTGTAAATCCAGCTCTCACTTGCCATCCAGATACTAATAGACATATTCCTAGCCTTCTTTCTAAAGAATTTGGTTGAACAGATTTGCCCAGGCTTTCTTAAGTAATGCAATAACTGATCTTTTAATATACAATATGTTTATTGCAACAAAAGAAAATTCACAGAAATCAGAAGGAATTCATCCCAGGGAGCTAATAGAACTTGCAGAAATAATGTTGGAGGCAGTGGCTATTATTCTTCAGAACTAATGGAGAACAGCCAAGGTCCCAGAGCTGGGAAATGACAAACCATATTACCCATTTTGAAGAGAAAAATTAAAAAAAAAAAAAAAAAAAAAAACAAAAAAACAACCTACCAGAGGAATTATAGAACAGAGAATTCAAATTTGAATTGTCAAGTTAGCTAGCAAAGCAGTCAGTTTGCAACCTGCTACAAAGGCGTGCTCAAAGGTGGGTGATAAACAAGAGAAATAGGAATCAGAAAAGACAAAGCATGTCTGATAAATATTACTGAACGTGGGCCTCCTGCTCAGTGCTATTGATACCACTCAGTACCATCAGGCTGCCTTAAGACACTTTCACATGTACCAGCAAGTACAACAGTCACCTTTCATCAGACTTTAGGAGGAACAATCTATTGGTCTAATTCCTCATTGCTTCCCAGCACCCAGGCAGAAAAGCTTTATTTTGGTAATATCCCTTTATACCGTTCATTTTATAACATTAGACCACCTTGCATTTTTCGGATAGTAGGCTTCAAATTGCATGCTGAGTACACTAAAAAGACTTAAAATATAAAACAGAAAAAGGAACATAGGTCTATCACGCTCGTATAGGAATATTCGTATATAGGGATTAGGTCTACAATCTCATCAGTTACACAAACAGTTTAAGAACCAATTGCCAGATTCTGATTTGCAGTGTTTAGGGAGGTCATTTCCCTGCCAGTCACAAGAAGCTTCTCATGTTGAAAATCAAACGATAAAAATAGATTCTTCTTTGTTCCCACAGGATATGGGAACTAGAAACCAGCAAACACAGAAACACTTAGAACAGCCAGGTTTATCAGGAAACACAAAAAAAAAAAAATAATTCCCTGTTCAATTTAGCCCTAAATTACTCGGATAATTAATGAGTTCATCTTTTCCAGAATACATCACAAAGTCCCAGAAAATAAATCATTTTCTCCATTTTAACAAGTCTATATATATCTTTCAAAAAATCCAGCTGTTGAACTGTCTTAATTTTTAAAGCTCCTTCTTTACAAGAACATACATGTCATTTTATGAACAAGTAGACAAACCATTTTACTATGGCTTCTTCGTTACCAATATCTTGCTTTCTGGCATGTCATAGCTTCCTGTTTATGCCACAAGTAAATTCTATATGTAGGCACTCAGTTTGGACTAGGGACTCAGATCCTAACTCTTGCTGTGCTGATATATATGGTGAAAAATCATATAGGGAGTACCTTTTGCAAACTGATGGAGGAAAAAAAATTCTTGTGCTTCTTAAAAGAAAGTGAGGCAGATAATCCCAGACATGAGCAACGTGACAAAGCAGAAGGAACACAGATACCTTACTAATCAACTAAGAAGTGCAAATACACCTAGGAAGACTTATGCTGCTGCTAACTTAACATCTTTTACCCCATTCCACAAGCAGTGAGTGAGTGTTCTCCTCTTAAGGACTAGAATAATTGCTCTGTAATTCTATAAAATAAAAATGCTTTCTACTACTGGAATCAGGTCTGTATCACCTGACTATAAAAGTCACAGCAGCATATTTTACTTACGTTATTTTTTACTGCTATTCAGAAATTTTCTGGTTGTTATAAGTCATTTTGAAGATTCACTTCTGTTAGCTATCCTGCATTCAATGAGAATATCTAAAAAGTGCAGAGATATATATGCCTATCACCTATTTTAATACAAAATAATAATAAAAATTATTCTTTTTAATGTAATAGAAAATAATAGGGTGGAAAGGTTAGAGCTGATTAGAATGACTGACAAAACAATAAACATAAGAATGCATGCTTGGTTTTCTTATCATTAGTGCTGCACCTCTTTTGAAAATTATACAGTAATGTATTTGTAAAAATGTATCCATTGTTGCTTGCTTTTTTTACTTTTATAATTATTCTTAACCTGGATTTTATTTTTTCTTAAAATATTATGCCTTTGCTATTAGAAAACACAGCTTTACTACTGAATATTCATCTGTATTTTCTGAACTATGATTCTAAACAAATACAAAGTATTACCATTTTTCCCTAATACTTGTAGTTATTCTATGTGTTATTTGCTTCAGAGGTAAGAAAGCAGTCCACATCTGGTAACTCACAACACATATCACTTTGCATTTAATTTGTAAATTAAAAAAAAAAAAAAAAGTGGAATCAGAAAGATCTACTAAAAAGAAATGCAAATAGGAATGTAAGAGAGATCCAAGCTAATTAGAATAATATACAAGAAAACCAGATGCAGGTTAGACTGGAATCTCAGAAAGTCCAATTTCTTAATGGTATAAACTGGATTTTTATTTTGCTCCCCTCCATTTCTTTTCTTCCAGTTTTTCAAGTAAAAATGTAAACAATCTGTGGAACCAAATACACTGCTCAGTTAATTTTAAATTATTTCTAAAATGTTCATCTATGGGACAAAAATAAGACCTTTAAGAGCTTTTGCTTCAAAGTGGAGTAGATGGTACAATTGCTAACTCCTCCTTGTTCTCTGGGCAAAAAGAAGCAGCAGAAATAGCACTAAAATGACCATGCATTCCACATATTGGTTGCCTTCTGTCAGTATTTAGAAATACAATTACAGGATGAAGGACTCCAAAAAATAATTACCTGATAGTATTGGAACAGAAATCTAAGGACATGCACAGAATTTGCCAAGTCCTGACCAGAGCTCCAGATATGCAGAGATACCAAGAACATAACAAAAAAAAAAAAAAGGGGGGGTGCTGTGGGGGGTGGTGTGGGGAGGTATGGAGTGTGGGTGTGGGTAGACTTCACACTAAAAATGTGGAATTTTTTTTTTCTTCTGAAATTACCCTTTAAATCTTAAACTATTATTAAACTTTGGATTCTCTGTGAAATGCCATGCATAACTT